CAATGCTCCTCTGCTATTCAGAGGGTTTTCAGACAATGCTCCTCTGCTATTCAGAGGGTTTTCAGACAATGCTCCTCTGCTATTCAGAGGGTTTTTATGGCCAATTTTTTTCAGAAGTGGGTGACCATGTCCTTCTTCCTAGTCTGCCTTAGTCTGGAAGCTCTGCTGAAACCTGTCCACCATGGGTGACCCTGCTGGTATTAGAAATCCTAGTGGCATAGCTTTCAGCATCACAGCAACACGTGGCCACCACAGTATGACAACTGACAGATGGGTGTGGTTCCCTGACCCGGAAATGAACCCAGGCCACCGTGGTGAGAGTACCAAATCTTAACCACTAGACCACCACTGCTTCTCTTAGGGCTTTTCAAATGCTGGAATCAGGTCTCCCTATATTATCTAGGAAAATCTCCTTTACTTAGAGTCAGTAGATTTTATCAGTAAGTACCTTTAGAGATAACATGATCTCAGGGGCTCTGTGCAGGGAAATTAACCAAGACTTAAAAAATAAGATTACAATATGGTTTTCTATGTCATGCTAGAGAATTTATAATGTGCCTTTTTAAGGATCTCTCTGGAATTGGAACTTATTTTTTAACTCACTCTTCACAATTGATACAGGTCTCCAGGTGTTTTCTAACTCTGTAAAGTTGGGTTAAGTTGTAGAACAATAAGAAGATTTAAAAAATTTTTCTTGTCTAATAGGAAGAACCCCATAGTTTGAGTTGAATTGCCCTGTAGGACATTAACTGCTTCTGTATCTTCCTCAGCAATCTTATTTCAACATCATTTCCCGCTGGCTCTGTAATCTCAGTCTCTCATATCCCTTCTGAATCAGCTTGTCATCCTTCTGAGTCCTTCATGAACAAGTTCAATAACATTTGAAATGCACCCATGACCTATTTGCATAAGAACTATGATTTTTACCAATTTGAGGATTATGCTTACAAAAGCCATGGAGGCAGATGAGTTCGTCTAGGGAAGAGGGTAGAAAATAATGTCAGGGGGTCAAGGACCGAACCTGGAGAAGAGCTCCATCAGGTGAGGAAAGTGGGAGACGGAGCTCAAGAAGGTGAGAAAAGAGGATCATCAGGAGGACCAGGGGCAGCTGTGTTGTAGAAGTGCGGGGGGAGATACCAGGGACCAAAAGAAGGTGACTGTGGAGAAGGAGGGTTTTATACATTAAACGATCCAACAGACATTTATCAAGTGCCTTGAATCTAGAGACAGAGTGAAAAAAGAGTAAAATCCCTTCCCCCATGGAGTTACAGTCAATGGATTATGACAATCCCTCAGTCAACGCCCACTGCCCCACGATCTCCACTCAACTCTTTGCCATCCATCACCCGTCACCCCGTGAAAACCGCCAGTACCATACCTGGCTCCTCCTGGCTCCTGGAGTTGACCTGAATTTGCTCAGAGAATGGGAGAAACAGAAGGCAGAAGCCTACTAGAGGAGAGAAAGGAGTGAGGACCTGAAGTCTGGGGCCAGGTGACGATGAAGGAAAGGCAAGTTAAGGACAGTTAGGGTCTGAGAATTGGGTTAGTGATGGTGATGAACTGGGGATAGAGGAGAAAAAGACAGATAGGATGCTTAGATGGGGTAGGGGTTGGAGATGCAGTTGGGTTGGGAATGGGTTAGATTTGGGGTTGAGGATGGTGTTGGGAGAATGGATGGATCCGGGTTGGTGGGGTGGGATGGGATTGGAATTGAGGTGGGTTAGAGACGGAGTTAGGCTGGGCGTAGGGACCAACTTTACGTTGGAGCATGGACCACCATACCAAGGAGGAGCAGGACCTTGTCCATGGAGCTGGAAGCTGGGATCGTGCAGGGCGTGGACTTCCGGGAGTCTGGCTCAGAGAAGTATCCCTTTATACTGAATGAAAGACTGATAAGATATATTTAGTCACACACTAAAGCAACAAAACCAGTGAGTCATTGCATTTAAACCCTGGAGCTAGAAGTACTCATTATGACATAGACTTTTGCATAAACAGGGCAGGCCCTATTCCATAGGAAAGAATAACAGCAGTCATGGCTACAGTGTCCTTAACCTTGTCGTATAGTGGGTTGAGTAGTGTTCCCCCAAAGTTCATGTCCATCTGGAACCTCAAAATGTGATCTTGTTTGGAAATAAGGTACTTGAAGATGTAATTAGTTAAGGATCTCAAGATGAAATCATTCTGGATTTAGGATAGGCCTAAACCCAGTGACTGGTGTCTTTATGAAAGAAAGGAGAAAGAGATTTGGACACACATATATTCAGGACCTCTTATACTCTTAAAAATTATTGAGAACAACAAAGAGCTTTTGTTTATACGCATTATATTTATCTTGCATTTGTGTATATCTATATTGATAGAAATGTTTTATTTAAATGTTTAGTCACCTTGTATTTACCATAATAAAAATTAAACTGAGAAATATGTTTATTAATTCTCCTAAATATAACAATGGTAAATCCATTACATATTAACGTAAACAATATACTTGCAGGAAAACACAACTGCATCTTCTGAGAAAAAAAAACCTGTGAGAGAGAAGTGGTATTGCTTATATTTTTGGAAAATGTCTGGCTTCGTAGAAGATAGCTAGATTTTCATATCAGCTTCTGCATTCAGTCTGTTATGTAGAAGGAGAGTAGAAAGGACAAGTAACATCTTAGTATTATTAGGAAATCATTTTCATGTCACAGACTACTCACTGGAAAGAGTCTTGAGAACCCCCCAGGGTTCCCCAAAGCACACTTGGGGAACCACTGTCCTCTACGGTAATCCTAGGACAGTTGTAACTTCTCACGCTCAGTCACCTCTGTTGGCTTTCTCCATGGGGTCATTCATTGGACAGAAATCCTGAACTCATATAGAATCAAATTCATCAGCATTGGGACGTATGGGTTTTATTTTTGAGATGTGGATTAAAAAGTCCTTCCCATCTCAAAAGCAAAGAGATTTTCTCACAGTTTTCCTTCCCTTCCCTTCACAGTTTTGTCTCTCACATTTGGGTCCTCAATCCATTCGGAATCACCTCTGAAGTTGTCAGGGAGGGAGCTACCACGTCTCTCGTCCCTTGCAAGAGGCCAGTGTCCCAGTCTAGATGGGGAGGCCCCCTCCACGGTGTATACCACCCCCACATACACAGGAATCTGTCCCTGAGTGTGTTTTTCTGCACCAATTGAACTAACAACAGGATTTTTCTCCTTGACTCTACTAATGTCAATTATCTTGACAGATTTTCTGACATGGGGCCATTCTGGCATTCCCTGTCATAAACCCAGCTTGATCATAATATGGTTTTCCTGGATGATAAACCACTAGCTTCTATTGCCTAATGCTTTCTTTTGAATATCTGTAGCTCTGGTGTGATGGCTAATTTGATGTGCCACCGTGGCTAAGTGATGGTGTCCAGTTGTTTCGTCAAATACCAGTCTAGATGTTGCTGGAAAGATATTTTGTAGACATGATTAACATTAGAATCAGTTGACATTGAGTAACGCAGAGAACCCTCCATAATGTGTGTGGGCCTTATTCAATCCATTGAGGGCCTTAAGAGCAAAGACTGAGGTTTCCAGAAGATGAAGAAATTTTCCTTCTCCATTCCATATTATTTGAATTTTACCATAAGCCTGTATGGCTTTAGTAATATTTAATCAAGAAATAAAAAGATATGTCCTTAAGACAGTTTTGTTAATCTCAGAGAGTCAGTAAAGATATTAGGGATGGAGTTGAGGATGACAAGGAGTTAGTTAGGGGGGTTCCTGGGAGACCCCTGGCCATCTGACAACAGTGTTACAGGGAAGAGATGAAATCTACAGAAGCAGAATTGGAAGGTTTCTTCCAGCTTAGCAGCTCAGAATCATCTCTGGAGAGTAGTCCTCACCTGCTGTAGGGGATTTCTGAGTCTACAGAGGTGAGCCCCATGATCTGACGTTTTCCCTGCATTCATTCATGTGCTGGGTGGTAGACAAACATTTCTGGAGCACGTAGGAATCACAGGTCCCTTGCTGGGCGATAGAGACATCGTGACGACCAGGAGAGACGAAACAAGACAATAATTTGAGAAGATCACAGGCGGTTGTTATCATGACTTCCATCGGAAGGGAATAATGCATATTAGCCAACAGAGGAGGAGGCAGCATTGAAGAGGCTACATTTCCAGCTTTCTTAGCTCTGAGCAACAGGGGTGGGGTAGTTACAGCCCAGGCTGCCGAAGCTGACGTGCAGATTGAGAGTGGGTAGTTCAGTAATGCAGGGACACCGTGGAGTGAAGGCTGGGGCCCTGAGGACATGCCAGGCACCTTCCCCAGAGACCATGATGACCTCTGTGAGGCCCACCAGAGAGATCCTTGGGGACCTCTGAGGGCACAGGTCAGAGGACAGTAATCCCAATTTGTTGTAAAAGCAGGACCCATGACTACTTCTAACAATAAAATATGGCAAAAGGGATGGGATGTGACTTCTGGGATTAGGTTACAAAAACACTGGCTTCTATCTCGCCTGCCATCTCTCCCTCCCTTGCTTGCTCTGTGGAGCCATGTTGTGAGCTGCCCCATGGAGAGGCCACAAGGCTGGGACTGACGTTTCCCGCTCACGGCCAGCCAGCGCCTGATCCTGCCCACTGCCACTGAGTGAGTTTGGAAGCGGATCTTCCACCTTGAAATGACTGCAGCCCCAGCAGCCCCTTGACTGCAGCCTTGGGAGGGGCCCAGAGCCACAGGCACCCACTGGGACCCCCGATTCCCGACCACTGGAAATGGAGAGGTGACACATGCTGGTTGTTCTCAGCCGCTAAGCTATGGGGTGATTCACTATGTGGCAGTAGATAACCCACACACTGGTGCAGTGCCCTCCTCCACCCACACTGGGCTGTGATGTCTGTGGGGCAGGGAGAGGTCAGTTATGTTGTCTCCGTGTCCTCGGACACAGCCCAGCAAGGGCCCGCTTGTGCTGGGGGTTCAAAAGTTTGCAGAATATATGCAGGATTGAATGAACACGAGTTATTAGTTCTCCATGTCCACTTTTTAAAGACACAGACACTCAAGAGCACGTGGGAAAATAATTTCTTGGCAAAATAAAATCTCTCTTCTGATTCTGCATTTATAGAGCTCCCCTCCTTCCTGGAAAAAGTTGTCATCACAACACTCTGTTTCCTAGGAGACCACTGAGCCGATTTCAGTTTAGTTGAGCAGAGGATAGATGAGGCTTCTCTCAGGGAAACCGGACACCAGAGTGAGACCCAGATGTCAGTCAGGGGTCCTCCAGGGACACAGAGCTGGAAAGACATATACACACCCACATACGTGCATATGAACACAAACATGTATGTATGTATGTGTGCATATGTGTGCGTATGTATGTGTGTACTTATTTATTGCAAAGAATTAGCTTATGCCATTTGGGGGGCTGGCCAGACAAGTCCAAAATCCAGAGGACAGGTTGGAAACTCTCAGGCAAGAGCTGATGTTGTACTTCAAAGATAAAATTGCTGCTTCCTAGGGGAAACCTCAGTTCTGCCTCTCTTTTGTTGTCAGTGCCATGGAGTAGATTCCAACTCCTAGCACCCCTGTGGACGGCAGAGCAGAGCCCTGCCCAGCCTTTCTGCGCTGTCCTCTTCCCTTCCGGCGCTCCATCAGACAGTGCTCCACTGCTATTCAGAGGGTTCTCAGGGCCAAGTTTTTCAGAAGTGGGTGGCCAGATCCTTCTTCCTAGCCTGTCTAGTCTGGAAGCTCCACTGAAACCTGTCCACCATGGCTGACCCTGCTGGTATTTGAAATCCTGGTGGCATAGCATTCAGCATCACGGCAACACGTAGTCACCACAGTCTGACAACCAACAGACAGGTGTGTGGTTCCCTGACCGGGAAACGAACCCAGACCGTGGCGGTGACCGTGCTGAATCTTGACCACTAGAATGCCACTGCTTCACTTAGGGCCTTTCAAATGATGGAATCAGGTCTCCCCAGATTATCTAGGAAAATCTCCTTTACTTAAAGTCAGTAGATTTTATCAGTAATTACCTTTAGAGAAAACTTATGATCTCAGGGGCTCTGTGCAGGGAAATTAACCAAGCCTTAAAAAATAAGATTACAATATGATTTTCTATGTCACGCTAGGGAATTTATAATGTGCCTTTTTGAGGATCTCTCTGGAAATGTAACTTTTTTTAACTTACTCTTCACAACTGATACAGGCCCAGGTGTTTTATAACTCTGTAAAGTTGGGTTAAGCTGTAGAACAATAAGAAGATTTTATTTAAATTTCCGGTCTAATAGAGAAGGTAACCCCATAGTTTGAGTTGAATTTCCTTGTAGGACATTAACTGCTTCTCTGTCTTCCTGAGCAATCTTATTTCACCATCATTTCCCATTGGCTCTGTAATCTCAGTCTCTCATATCCCTTCTGAATCAGCTTGTCATCCTTCTGGGTGCTTCAGGAACAAGTTCAATAAAATATGACATGCACTCATGACCTATTTGCATGAAAACTATGCTTTTTACCAATTTGAGGATTATGCTTACAAAAGCCATGGAGGCAGATGAGTTCGTCTAGGGAAGAGGGTAGAAAATAATGTCAGGGGGTCAAGGACCGAACCTGGCGAACAGCTCCATCAGGTGAGGAAAGTGGGAGATGGAGCTCAAGAAGGTGAGAAAAGAGGATCATCAGGAGGACCAGGGGCAGCTGTGTTGTAGAAGTGCGGGGGGAGATACCAGGGACCAAAAGAAGTTGGCCGTGGAGAAGGAGGGTTTTATACATTAAGCAATCCAACGGACACTTATCAAGTGCCTAGAATCTAGAGAAACAGTGAAAAAAGAGCAAAATCCCTTCCCCCATGGAGTTACAGTCAATGGATTATGACAATCCCTCACTCAGCGCCCACTGCACCAGGACATCCATTCAACTCTTTGCCATCCGTCACCCGTCACCCCCTGAAAACTGCCAGTACCTTACCTGGCTCCTCCTGGCTCCCGGAATTGACCTGAACTGGCTCAGAGAATGGGGAAAACAGGAGGCAGAAGCCTATTAGAGGAGAGAAAGGAGTGAGGACCTGAAGTCTGGGGCAGGGTGAGGATGAAGGAAGGGCAAGTTAAGGACAGATGGGGTCTGAGAATAGGGTTAGTGATGGTGATGAACACGGGATGGAGGAGAAAGAGAGGGATAGGATGCTCATATGGGGTAGGGGTCGGAGATGCAGTTGGGTTGGCAATGGGGTCAGGTTTGGGGTTGGGGATGGAGTTGGGAGAATGGATGGAGCTGGGTTGTGGTGTTGGAATAAGATTGGAGTTGGAGATGAGATTGAGGTAGAGATGGGTTTAGGCAGGGGGTAGGGGCTGGGCCTGGGATGGGGGAGATTGGAGCTTGGACCACCATACCAAGGAGGAGCAGGACTTTGGCCGTGGAGCTGGAAGCAAGGATTGTGCAGGGTCTGGACTTCTTGGGAGTCTGGCTGAGGTGGGCTCACACTAGCATCCCTTTATACTGGAGGAGGGACTGTGGCATATTTAGCCACATCCTAAAACTCAATGATTGGTGTCTTTATGAGAAAAGGAGAAGGAGATTTGGACACATATATATTCAGGACTCCTTTATACTCTTAAAATTATTGAGGACAGGGTCCAGCCTGGTGGTGTGTTGGTTAAGTTCGCACATTCCACTTTGGCAGCCTGGGGTACGACAGTTCGGATTCTGGGCGCAGACCTACTCACCGCTCATCAAGCCATGCTGAGGCAGCATCCCACATAGAAGAGCTACAACTCTACAACTATGATACACAACTATGTACTGGGGCTTTGGGGAGAAAAAAGACAAAGAGGAAGATTGGCAACAGAGGTTAGTGCAGGGCCAATCTTCCTCAAAAAAAAATTATCGAGGACATTAAAAAGGGTTTGTTTATATCCATTATATTTATATTTATTTATTTATATTTGTATTAATACAAATACTTGTAAATATATTTATTCATATTATATTTATCATAATAAAAACTTGAGAAATTTGAAAAATATGTTTATTAATTCTCTTAAACATAACAATGATAAATCCATTACATATTAACATAAATAATATACTTGTATGAAAACATAACTATGTCTTCTGAGAAGAAAAAATCTGTGAGAGAGAAGTGGCATTGTTTTACACTTTTTCAAAATGTCTGGGTTCATAGAAGCAAGCTAGATTCTCATATCAGCTTCTGCACCTAGTCTGCTATGTAGGAGAGTGGAAAGGACAAGTAATATCTTAGTATTATTAGGAAATCATTTTCACGTCACAGACTGCTCACTGGCAAGAATCTTGAGAATCCCCCAGGGTTCCCCAGAGCTTTGGGGACCACTATCCTCCATGACAATCCTTGGGCAGTAGTGACTTCTCACATGTGCTGGCTTTCTCCATGGGGTCATTCATTGGACAGAAATCTTCAACTCAGAATCAAATTCATCAGCCTTTTGCCTCAGAGGTTATGTTTTTGAGATATGCACTAAAAAGTCCTTCCCAGAAGAAGTGAAACTCCAGCTGTTTGCAGATGACATTCTATATATAGAATGATTCTAGATATAGAAAACCCTAAAGAATCTGTTGGAAAATTGTAGAAATAATTAACAACTACTGCAAAGCTGCAGGGTACAAAATCAACTTACAAAAGTCAGTTGCATTTCTATACTCTAATAATGAACTAAGAGAAAAGAGAGCTGAAGAACACAATCCCATTTACAATTGCAACATAAAGAATAAAATATTTAGGAATAAACTCAACCAAGGAGGTGAAAGACCTATAAATGAAAACTATAAGACATTATTGAAAGAAATCGATGATGACGTAAAGAAATGGGAAGATATTCCATGCACATGGATTGGAAGAATAAACATAGTCAAAATGTCCACACTACCTGCAGTAATCTACAGATTCAATGTAATCCCAATCGTAATCCCAATAACATTCTTTATCGACATAGAGCAAAGAATCCTAAAATTCGTATGGGGTAACAAAAGACCCTGAACAGCTAACACAATCCTGAGGAAAAAAAACAAAGCTGGAGGCATCACAATCCCTGACTTCAAAATATGCTACAAAGCGATAGTAATCAAAACAGCATGGTACTGGCACAAAAACAGACACACAGATCCATGGAATAGAATTGAAAGCCCAGAAGTAAAACCACACATCTACAGACAGCTAATCTTCGACAAAAGAGCTAAGAACGTGCAATGGAGAAAGGAAAGTCTCTTCAATAAATGGTGTTGGGAAAAGTGGACAGTCGTGTGCAAAAGACTGAAAGTAGACCATTATCTTACACCATACCCAAAAGTTAACTCAAAATGGATTAAAGACTTGGAGGTAAGACCTGAAACTATAAAACTTGTGGAAGAAAATGTAAACAGTATACTCTTTGACATCGGTTTTAGAAGGATCTTTTCGAATACCGTGTCTACTTGGGCCAGGGAAACAAAAGAAAAAATAAACAAATGGGACTTCATCAGACTAAAGAGCTTCTGCAAGGCAAAGAAAACCAGGAAGAAAACGAAAGGACAACCCACTAAATGGGAGAAAATATTTGCAAATCGTATGTCTGACAAGAGGTTAATCTCCCAAATATATAAAGAACTCACACAACTCAACAACGAAAAAACAAACAATCTGAGCAAAAAACAGGCAGAGGATATGACCAGACATTTTTCCAAAGAAGATATACAGATGGCCAACAGGCACATCAAAAGATGTTCAACATCACTAACCATCAGAGAAATGCAAATCAAAACTACGCTAAGGGGGCCGGCCCTGTGGCTTAGCGGTTAAGTGCATGCGCTCCGCTACTGGCGGCCCGGGTTCGGATCCCGGGCGCACACTGACGCACCGCTTCTCCGGCCATGCTGAGGCCATGTCCCACATACAGCAACTAGAAGGATGTGCAACTATGACGTACAACTATCTACTGGGGCTTTGGGGAAAAAAAAGAGGAGGATTGGCAATAGATGTTAGCTCAGAGCCAGTCTTCCTCAGCAAAAAAAAAAAAAAAGAGGAGGATTAGCATGGATGTTAGCTCAGGGTGATCTTCCTCACAAAAAAAAAAAAAACTACGCTAAGATATTATCTTCTACCCGTTAGAATGGTTATAATCACCAAGACAAAAAATAACAAGTGTTGGAGAGGTTGTGGAGGAAAGGAGACCCTCACATACTGCTGGTGGGAATGCAAACTATGGAAAACAATATGGAGATTTCTCAAAAAATTAAAAATAGAAATACCATATGACCCAGCTACCCCATTATTGGGTATTTATCCAAAGAACTTGAAATCAACAAGCCAAAGAGACTTATGCTCCCCTATGTTCATTGCAGCATTACTCACAATAGCCAAGATGTGGAAACAACCCAAGTGCCCATCAACTGATGAATAGATAAAGAAGATGTGGTATACATATACGATGGAATACTACTCAGCCATAAAAAAAGAGAAAATCGTCCCCTTTGCAACAACATGGGTGGACCTCGACAGTATTAGGTTAAGCAAAATAAGCCACACAGAGAAAGACAAACACCGTATAATTTCACTCGTATGTGGAAGATAAACAAACACACGGACAAAGAGAACAGATTAGTGGTTACCAGAGGGGAGAGGGGAGGGGGAGGGTGAAAGGGGTAAAGGGGCACATATAGATGGTGACTGACCAATAATAATGTGCAACAGAAATTTCACAATGTTATAAACTATTACAACTGCAACAAAAAAAATAAAATAAAATATAAAGTCCTTCCCATCTCAAAGACAAAAAGATTTTCTCATATTTTCCCTTCTATTCTCTTCATAGTTTTGGCTATCACATATGGGTCTTTAATCTATTTGGAAACATCTCTGATGGGATAACCACGTCCCTTATCCCTTACAAGAGGCCAGTGTCCCAGTCTAGATGGGGACGCCCCCTCCACGGTGTATACCACCCCCACATACACAGAAATCTGTCCCTGAGTGTGTTTCTCTGCATCAACTGAACTAACAACATGGTTTTTCTCCTTGACTCTACTAATGTGGGAAACTACCTTAACAGATTTTCTGACGTGGGTTCGTTCTGGCATTCCCTGTCATAAACCCAACTTGATCATAATATGGTTTTTGTGGATGATAAACCATTAGCTTCTATCGTCTAATGCTTTCTTTTGGATATTTGCATCTCTGGTGTGATGGCTAATTTGATGTGCCACCGTGGCTAAGTGACGGTGTCCAGTTGTTTGGTCAAACACCAGTCTAGATGTTGCTGGAGAGATATTTTGTAGACATGATTAACATTGAAATCAGTTGCCCTTGAGTAAAGCAGAGAACTCTCCATAATGTGGGTGGGCCTCATTCAATCTGGTGAGGGCCTTAAGAGCAAAGACTGAGGTTTCCAGAAGATGAAGAAATTCTCCTTCTCTATTCCATATTACTTGAATTTTTACATGATTCTGTATGGCTTTAGTAATATCTAATAAAGAAATAGAAAGATATGTCCTTAATACAGTCTTGTTAACCTCAAAGAGAGTCAGGACTGGTGTTAGGGATGGAGTTGAGGAGGACACAGGAGTTAGTTAGGGGGGGTTCCTGGGAGACCACTGTCCATCTGAGAACAGAGTTACAGGGAAGAGGTGAAACCCATAGAAGCAGAATTGGAAGGTTTCTTCTATCTTTGCAGCTCCGAATCTTCTCTGGAGAGTAGCCCTCACCTGCTTTTGGGGATTTCTGAGTCTACGGAGGTGAGCCCCATGATCTGATGTTGTCCCTGCATTCATTCACATGCTGGGTGGTGGACAAACATTTCTGGGGCACGTAGGAATCACAGGTCCCTTGCTGGGCAATAGAGACATCGTGACGACCAGGAGAGACGAAGCAAGACAATAATTTGAGAAGATCATAGGCGGTTGTTATCATGACTTCCATCAGAAGGGAAGAATGCATATTAGCCTATGGAGGAGGAGGTGGAATGACGAAGCTACATTTCCAGTTTTCTTAGCTTCAGAGCCACAGGGGTGGGTGCTCATAGCCCAGGCTGCCGAAGCTGACGTGCAGATTGAGAGTGGGTAGTTCAGTAATGCGGGGATACCGTGGAGTGAAGGCTGGGGCCCTGAGGACATGCCACGCGCCCTCCCCAGAGACCATGATGACCTCTCTGAGGCCCACCAGAGAGATCCTTGGGGACATCTGAGGGCACAAGTCAGAGGACAGGAATCCCAATTTGTTGTAAAAGCAGGACCCATGACTACTTCTAACAATAAAATATGGCAAAAGGAATGGGATGCTGCTTCTGGGATTAGGTTACAGAAACACTGGCTTCTGTCTCGCCCGCCCTCTCTCCCTCCCTCGCTCGTTCTGTGGAGGCCGGCTGCCATGTTGTGAGCTGCCCCATGGAGAGACCACAAGGCCAGGCCTGACGCCTCCCACCCCCAGCCAGCCGGTGCCTGATCCTGCCCACGGCCCCTGAGTGAGTTTGGAAGCAGATCTTCCACCTTGACTGTCCCAGGAGCCATTGACTGCAGCCTGGGGAGAGACCCAGAGCCACCGGCACCCACTGGGGCACCCGGCTTCATGATCACTGGAAATAGAGAGGTAACAAATGGTTACTGCTGGTTGTTCTAAGCTGCTAAGATATGGAGTGATTTGTTATGTGGCAGTAGATAACCAATACACTGATGTAGTGCCCTCCTCCCCCACACCGGACTGTGATGTCTGTGAGGCAGGGACAGGTCATAATGTCATCTCCATGTCCTCGGACACAGCCCAGCAAGAGCCTGCTTGTGCTGGGTGTTCAAAAACTTTGTGGAATAAATGGTGGATTGAGTGAACACGAGTTACTAGTTCTCAGTGTCCACTTTTTAAAGACACAGACACTCAAGGGCATGTGGGAAAATAATCTATCAGCAAAATAAAATCTCTGCTCTGGTTCTGCATATATAGAGCTTCCCCTTTTCCTGGAAAATGTTGTCATCACAACATTCTGTTTCCTAGGAGACCATTGGGCTGATTTCAGTTTAGTTGAGCAGAGTATAGGTGAGGCTTCAGTCAGGGAAACCAGACACCAGTGTGAGACCCAGATATCAGTCAGGGGTCCTCCAGGGACACAGAGCCAGGAGGATAGACACACACACACACACACACACACACACACACGTGCAGATGTACACAAACATGTATGTATGTGTATGTGTGTATGTGGGCGTGTGTGTATGTATGTGTCTACTTATTTATTCATCACAAAAATTGGCTTATGCCCTTTGGGGAATGGCTGGATAAGTCCAAAATCCACAGGGCTGGCTGGCAACTCTCAGGCAGGAGCTGAGGTTATGCTGCAAAGACAAAATTTCTTCTTCCTCAGGGAAACCTCAGTTCTGCTTCTCTTAAAGCCTTT